TTCCTAAAAATAAATAACTGTACTTTAGAATGGGAAATAAATTGATTTTAAATGTTTAAAATTTCTAATATTGATCGACATGAAAGTTTTATCACGATGTCGATGTTATATACTTCAAAAACTTAAACTATAACCACTACAATATAATAATAATTACATACATTTTGTTAAAATCCTACTCGTAGAAATCAAACAATATAATTATACGCCTGAAACATTAATTATATATATTTAATATATTAATTATTAAACGTAATAAATACTATTATTTAAGTTGAACTCAGGGACGAAATCTCATTAACCTGAATGGCTAAACGATATCATATTCACGTATACTTCATATGTATTACCATTGATTATAGAATAGACTATTCTATAATCAATGGTATTACTGAACACAATTTAACTATTTTTGTTTTGTTCTGTGAAGTGATTTAAGTGAATTTGTCTGCTCTAAGTGGATACGTCCTATATGATTATTTAATATGATTTTGAAAAATATTGTATTTTATTTAAATCAACTATTGTGGCTTTAACTCATCGGCCTTAAAAATTTCTTCTCGATCACCATTTGTATCCATGTTTTCGTCTTCGGTTTCTCTCAATATAATGAAAGATTTTAATCTGGTAACTGACATCAAAAACACGTCAAAAACTTTGCTGTTCCACAAATTTAAACCTAAACGATGCGTAAATGTTATCAAGCTCACGACCCGACATAAAATGCATTATGTTTATTAATTGGAAAGTTAGTAACCATAATTCAAAGTCTACTTGTGGTTTTTTTAGTGCAATTTTTTTAAATTTAATATTTGATTCATGGTCATATTTTACAATGATTTACCTACAAGTCGAAAAACGCTTAACTTTTGTTTATGATTTTCAAGAATATTATATTACTCCGGAATTTAATTTTGAAATGTATTAAATCAATTAAAATAAAACCAAAATTAAAACTCATGTTGAATGAAGTTATTTAAACACGTATTTATGCAATAGCGTATTAAGCAACAATTGCAATAGTTTTGACACTTATCACTTAACACTAATAACAGTAACCTCACCAAAATATAATAACTATTTTATTCCTATCGATTATTTAGAAACTTTTAGACAATTTTAGAGTTCTTATAGTAGTACCTACTTAATATTTATACTTAAAATGGCTCATTTTAACTTTTAAACGTTTTCTCAGATGAGACATGGACATAGTTTCGTTTAGAAATTAACGCAGCTTATCATGTTGGCAACTATGTAAAGCTAATTTGAATTTAATTGCAGATTATAGTGTAGATTTTGAAAAATTATAAAATCAAACATGACATTTTATATAAAATATCAACGAGTAGAGTATTTGTCATTGAATTTAAAATAGCCGTCTATTAATACAATAATATATGTATAAGAACCGTATAACATTTAACAATTCGTGTACCTATTTATGAATAGTTCTAATTAAATAAAAACTCAACTGATTTCAAAATTCTTTTTAGATTCTGAACGAAGTGATGAATGTATTGATTTTACAATGATGTGTGTTTTTAAATTCTGTTTTTGGCCCTATCAAAATACTTGAAAATTTAATACAAAGTTCCTCATAAGTTATTCTTATTGTGATTAAAAAATTATAAGAATACATAGGCACAATTTTTTTTTATTAGCATTTGAAGTTCAAATATTGACTTAATACGTAAAAATTACGGCAATTTTCAAATTATCTTAGATCGAAATTCATAAAAGTTTTTCTTTTTAATTCTAAGATTTGAGAATTTAATACAAGGCTCATAATATAKTTTTRCAATAGCAGTTGAAAAATAAAAKAAATATATAGCTACATTTTTTTTTTACATGCATTCAAATTTTAATTTTGACAACATACGTAAAAATCACGAAAATTCGTAAATTATTTTATTCTAGAAATTCATAAAAAATTTTCTTTTTAAATCTAAGATTTGAAAATTTAATACAAGATTCCTTACAAATTTGTCAATCTTTATCACAAAAAAAATGTCCACTGGAAATTCAAATTAAATTTTTATTAGCATTTGAATTTCAAATATTGACAAAAATTTGTCAAAACCATGAATATTTGCAAATTATTTTGTAGTTCAAAATTCATAATATTGTTTGTATTTATATCTAAGGTTATAAAATTTAACACCAAGTTTTCCACAAGTTTTGCTTCAAATAGCTATAGAGAAAATTTGAAGCGTCATTATAGGAAAAATGTTTTGAGCGTTCAAGTTTTAAATTTTTATGAAATCGCGTAATGATAACGATTTATCCTCAAACCAGGTATTCGTATATATAAGGTATTATGAATTATGATAACTACATGATAACTACACTAATTGATTAACCATGCCTTATGCAAAATGCGTCTTAATTGAAAAAAAAAATATTTGTTTCAAAATAGAATATATGACAATATTTAAATATAATATATCCTAGAMTGACAAATCATCTCCGTTCAGAATCGTTTTTCGTATACAATGATACCTATCATTGCATTCAAATTTAATCCCATCCATTACAGTAACCTACTGTACAGCAGAGCGACATACACGACTTACCTGCTTTTTTTATTTTAATATTATTAATAAATAATTCAATAAAATGGATTTTTTAGAATTTTTAAAAATATGCTTACTAAAAATTTGCAAATATTTTATATTTTTTCTGTATATCATCGTTTAAAGAGAACAACTATAGGTTAGGTTTTATGGTCTTATTTCAGTTATATTTATCTTCAATCCAAGCCAGAATTAATTTAAATTTTCTCGAGTMTAGACAAAATTCTTTATGGATATTGATTTCATGAAAAAATTTATAAAAGTTGATACATCCTGCATGTCCTGATTTATTACATTCCTTATATATTTTAATGTTCCTCGATATAACTCGCGATTCTGTCTTAAATTGTTAACTCCATTTAATCGTACTTCTTATGGCTATAATAATCCTTTAGATCGAATTGCCACAGAGTGTAATGAAATAAAAAACTTCTAAATTTGTTTTGTACATATTATGATATTTACATTTGATACCTAAGCCAAGTTTCCTTAGGATATTATTGAAATTTGTTTAACTCTGGAGGTTGTTTACATATTTGGTATTATTATATTTATATTAATAATATTATTTAAAATTATATTATTATGTATTATTTTGCTCTGTTAATACCATTTTACGTATAGTTAATTAACTTAAGTTATATTAATGTTTATCACCTATACTGACATACTTTACTTGAGCTTTACATGGGTTTATAAATAAATACATATTATATATTTTATACTCAATTAATTAACTGTACTCTAAAATATTCACAAGTACAATTTCATCATTTTATCTATATATACTGTAAACATTGGTACTATTTAAATAGACATACTATTGCTATTTATTGTACAAATTACCATTAGTTTTGTACTCGACGAACACTTATTTTTTTTATAATAGGTCCAACCATAAAAGTTGAACGTAAAATATTTTGATGAATCCTAATGTCTTGGATAGGAAAAACAAATCCTAAACAATAGAATAAAATGACAGTCACTAAAATTTTACAAACAAAAAATCTATCAATAAGTAAATATATATCAAATCAGTTTTTTTATTTGTATGCCACGTATAGTGTATACTGTAATATATAAATAATAATAATAACATTTGTAGGTAAAACATAAAATCAATTAATATTTATTATTTATTAGTTTATTACTCACCAACATTATGATATCTGATTATTCAGCAATATGAATTTATATCAATACAATGCAACTGACTGCTTAATTAACTATTGAAGAGCGTCGCCCGAGTGCGTCCCGAAATGACACTTTTTTAATGTTCCTAGTGCGTCCAGAATAAGGTATCATCCGAGTGCGTCCCAAGAAAAAAAGGTCATATTTTTTACATAACCCGAATGCGTCCCAGTTCATTTAGAGTTACCCAGGGTGCACCAGGGAGAGGTGAACTGGCTTACACCCCAAAAATATTTGGTTATTTAATTATTATATTATAGTATTATTATAAAATTAAAAGTTGATTATTATATAAATGTATTAAATTATTTAGGCTTACATACAATTTTAAAATGCTGGGTTAATATTTAAACTATTTTTTTGGTTGACTTTTTAATGCCATGATTTTCACATAATCATATCTAGAGATTTTAGARRTTTTGTATTTTTGTATATTTTCTTCAATGAATTTAATATTTTTTTCGTTGACTGCTCTATTTTTTTAAAACTATTTTATTAGATGTTTTATTTTCTTAGAACAATTAATAGTATATTATACTATATTACTAATAATTGTATATTTTCTTTTAACCACGCACACGGGATATACCAACATTTTTAGCGATATTATTGCGGACGCAGTTGTGCTATTAAAAAGGTACGATATGATAAACGGGACGCACTCAGGAGTTGCCCCTATTGAACTTACGATAAGAAAATCGATTTATGAATTGAATAGTACTTATTTAAAAAATAACCAGCACTACAAAGTATACATTATACTTATTAGGTACCTCATAAATCCTCGGGTATATTTTTCGACTTATCGTCACTTTTTTTGGAAACAATAAAACTCTGAAAACATTTACAATAAGCATTTGACAATTATAATTATACATTTTATCTACAGTTACTTGACCAATGCTTAATTTAAGTCAGTATAAACCTTTTTCCAATCTGGGTGTATATTAATAAATTATGTTTTTGACATTAAACAATAGAATGTAACGGGATACTGTACTAATTATTAAATTGGATATTGAACACTTAACTAATGTACCGAACAATTAAATACCATTAATAGGCTTATGTGCAGTTATTAAATTATTATATTTTAAACATTGGTATGGGTAAGTACAGTAATCGATTTTGTATATTATAAAACCCCCAACCTTTCAGGTTCACGGTATCATTTCAGCATCGACTCAAAAATCATTGTCAAGTATTTGGTCAATAATCAATATTGAAAGAGCCGTTTCTGAATTACAACTCAAGACGATTTACAAAGACACTTTTCGAATAAAAAATGACCGTAAGTATATAAATATTACCAATATTATATATGAGCTACACAACACAACGCACCAGCACTATATAGATATCTTTAACATCAACTTTATTGAGATTGTTTCACTGTGAAGCCGTGCAGGTATACTTACCTATCAGTTTATCGTATATTACACACTGAATCGTCAATAAATATCTTGACTATATTGTGTGTTCTTACTCAGAACTTTGTTTTTAGTTACACCACTTGTACAAGATTCGATATATATATGGATGCGTAGATAACCTGAACGAATTTAACAAACTAATAATTTAAACTTGGAAAATTTGGAAATGCCAATACCATTTAAATAGAGATAGAATATATACGTATGAGGATTATTATTATGAATGCAATTATAATATTTAATATCTTGATAGTGAATCAAAACCAAGCGATTATCTTCGCCTATTCATTATAAGTATAGATTCTACTAATCGCTAATAAACTAAAATAGAAAATTAATTATTAATACTTATTGAAATTTAATAGTTTTACTATTACTGAACTAGATATTCGGTGAAAATATTTATTTGCATGGATTCCTGTATAATACATACATTTTTGTTGAAATTCACATTATCCGTGATAAATCAGTCATTCATTGGACAAAAAAATGTCTAAATAAAAATGTATATTTTCGAAAAATGCTCGATCAGTGTATTTAGGCTCCATTGACGAGATACACGGTAATATTAATTTAGTCCAACAAATATTTGTTTGATTATTACTTTATTAGTAATTACTTGAGTCCCTCCAGTCTATTGCAGGTGTTGTTTAGGAGACACCATCACGTTGAAGTTGGTTTAGCAGTTACTTTAAAGTCTCTCGTAAAATGTGTATGCTTGTTTAGTAGTTTACATTGTTTATAGACAGTAAATAAACACAGCTTTCCTTTTAACGCAATTTTGAATAACTGCATAAATGAAATAAAAGGAGTGAGCGAGCTTAGTGAATCACCCTATACAGTGGTATAAAAATAATACAATATACCAGCAGAGCTTACAAACATTACGTAATATTAAAACCGTTTTCCTACCACGTTTAGTTTAGGTGCGTGAGGCTGATGGTGTCCGTGATGGCGCTGGCCACACACTTGCTGGCCGCGCCGTCCACCAGATCGCAGCTGCCCATGGTCAAGACGTCCGAGGACCAGACAGCTGGCGATACGTTACTCGAACTAGCCACGGCCCTGATGACCGGCGGTGCCTTGGCGGGCGGCCGGAAAACGGAAATGCACCACCACAATGACGTCCAAAGTCACAAGCCGCCACACCACCAAGCCATTTCCACGTTAATCCATCTGCTGTTGACCATCGGCAGTGCGTTCGCTCCTCTGGTGGGTGCAATCGTCGGGCCGCTGTTGACTAACATCGCTAACGGGATAACGTGGGCCATATCACACACCATCGCTTCCGGTAAGTCCAAACGTCCAATAAGTACAATTTGATACGTCGAAATTACGTTTACTTCACCAATAATTGACAATTACCCAATTTTAATCCAAGTAAAATATTATCAAAATCAAAGAGTACAGTTAATTATTATGCCTAACACGAATACTTATATATAAGCGATAAGGTCTGCTTACACTGCACGCGCGTAACCGTGCTTGATATAATAAATGATTCTAAATTTCTGATCATGGTGAACGAATATGTATCGATATTATTATTTTTGAGAAAATCACCGATGAAAATTTTATATTTATAATGCTGTTCGTTTTGTATATTTATAATTTAGATGTATACACCTAATATTATCAGAAACAAATTATAAAATAGTAAATTTAATTTTAAAAACATTTCTGACCTCATAAAATTGATTTGCCCAGATAAAATGTGACCTTGCATATTTTATGTAGGTATAGGTACATGCACATATATTATTATAATATATTGTAGGTCGATGTCGACCTGATCCCGAAAGTGTGACTCTATAGTGTTGTTTGGCTTTTTAAAATGTTGAACTTGACCGATATTCACATACCCAATACGGCATTGTCAAAATCGTATGCATAAACAAAATTATGCAAGTGCCCATGTGACAAATCCGTTTATTTTACATATTATTTTTACCTCAACATTTGGTCGACAATCATTTCGTCTTATATTTTTACTAAATATATTTAAGTGATGGGCAAATATCAATGGGTAAACATATTGCAAAAACGCGTTTTCACTTGTATAATATAATGATTTTTATGATTCATTATCATTTATCATGAGATAAAACATAATCTACGCTACTAAGACTGCAGCAAGCTGAAGTGCACTTGTTCTAAGTCTAAGCTATAATATTATTGTATTATACATAGTTTAGATAGATATCAGAATCTATGATAATATGTTATGATGGGTGATGGGTGGTATTATATTACGATATATTATACGTATTCGCAATAATAAACTAGGGTCAAATGTTACTTGATATATAATTTCAAATTATAATAATGTATTAAAATTCTATCAAAGTGACATAAGCTACGTCTTTGGACTAGGCTTTCACCGTAACGATCGGTTAAGCTCGATTGATAGCATTCACTCGACTCAGACTTAACCTATATACATGTATTCGATCACACGCGGTATTATATGTTTATATGTATACATCATTATGGTGCATCGACGTTTCAGGATTTTCACCTCCACACGGATTGTTCTCACCGGAACTCGGCCACGGAACCGATCACATCAAAGAACACCTGACGTCTTATGCTGCCGAAGGTCAATCCGAAACGGGGTCCGACGCGATTCATCAAGTGCAGCAACCCACGGCCGCCACGGAACCGTCCGAACCCGCGACGGTCGATGACACCAGAAACGAAGTGAAGAAAATAGTATAACGATCCGCCGCAGACGAATAAATTACATATTACATATTACATTATATGATCACGAGTTCATGACGACCACGATTTATTATTTTTTTATAGGCATACAAATTATTATTATAGTTTTGTTCGTTGCGACTGCAGTTTAATTTATTTTATATATTTTTGTTTGTTGAACCTTCCATCTATATATGATGGAATAAATAACAATAAATCATTAATCATTACATTTGTACGAAGTGTTCTTAGTTATGCTTTTAACTGCGTTTTGATAACGCAAAATTTGTTCATTCGATTCATTACGAAACGTCAACAAAATTTTTATCATAAATATACAATATAGCCTATAGCTTATAGGTATACAATCACCTCATACCTACGTAATATACATAAATTATAACTTAATTTAATATTGGGTTATATATAACACTATAACCCGAATATACTATATTATATTATGACCCCTATACTAATCACTAAATGGTGAGCAGTGTTTAGAAATGTTGTGTCTGTTATAACTATGTTAGAAAATATAAAACTAGCCTATTTTGTTTGAAGTGGAAGTTAAATCGTAATTATACTTACATAGATACATTATTTAGTCTTATACTCTAGATGGAATAAGTGAATTTCAGCCGTTCATTTCGATTTACATATTATATATTATATATTGGATATGTATAGTGGTTGTAACAACTATTTTGCAGAAAACCTGTATGCAAAACCAGTAAAAAACAACGTCATTATACAACTAGGTGTTAGGTACCACTTGCAGGCGGCACTCTTGCAAATTCTTCGGTATCTTTACATATATACAAATAAAATATATTTTTGTTAAATATAAGTAATACGTAACTTATAGATAAATATACCTTGAGCCTCGAGGTAGGTATCTATCATCCATATATAATTATTTGTTTATTTCTCGGGATATTTCATGGTTCAACAATAAATTTCCAAACATCCTTACGAAATTTCCACTGCAGCAATTTTTCTTTCACTTGCCACATCAACAGGCGATACGTTTTAAATGACTTCATTGTCATAATGATTTAGTAAACAACCTTTATTACACGAGATATAGTATTAATCATATATTAGTATATTAATTATCTGATAAAATAATCTAATGTTTTATCAATCTCAATTATTATTAAGTTTCAATCAAAAGATAACCGTATAATAAATATATTTACATGTTCATTCACACATATATATTTAAAAACATTACATCTACGCATATGAATTTATACTTTTCAATTTTAATTAATATTATTAAGAAATTAAAACTCAGATTATACCTATTATAGCTAAAGATATTGTTTTAATTATATATTACGTAAATCTTTAACGGTTTAAAAACGAATGGAGAATAAATTATATACATCGTGTTAACTAATTTGAATCTCAAAACTAATTTTATCTGATATTCCATAAGACATAGGTTACTATAGTATACTAGTATTTAATAATATAGCTCCTTACTCCGGGCAAAAAGTGTAGTTCCCTATTTCTACCTGTAATGATACAAAATCAAATTAGAATATATGTATTATGTCATAGATACCTAGATTCAATTAATTATCACCAGACGATAATTTAAATTTTAGTTTTTTATATGTTACAACTACAAAACAAATACGTAATAACACGTGACCTATTTTCTTTTTGAATGTATATAATCTATTATAATATACAGGTACACATATAGAAGCTTTGGACATTTACGGTGTATTATTATAATTTATAATATAACCTACCTATAGTTAATATAACGGAAGAGCAGATAACAATTTTAATTTACTATCTAGGTATAAGTATTGTAGTTGGTAGCTTTCGTTGCCACCGCATACAAATTTATAAATATTAACTTTAATCTACGCTACATGATTTTTTTTTTTTTAATTATTGTTTTTCTTATCGAATACCATGATAATTGATATTGTTATCAAATTAATTAACTAAAATACTTCATAATTGGGCATCAGCTCTGCCCATTTATTTCTAATAAATAAAAATAATATTCATTTAATATTATTGAACAGTTAAAATTGTCTATAGTAAACTTAAAATAAAACTAATTATCATCTAAAAGAATAAAAATAATTTATCTAAAATAAAAGTCCAGTTCAAAATACGACTAAATTTCTCATAATTTACAAGCTGATGGTAATTATATTTGATGTAATAATTATAATGATATTATCATGGACATACTATTATATGTGTGTATATAATATGATATGTCTGCATATGTACCTGGGACTGGACTGGAAGAGTTTCAGCCTACTATTATCTGTAAGTAATTCGGCCTATTTACCTAAATTTAACGGTCCAACATACATTAACATATTATTAAATATTTATCAATGGTATTTTCACTTTTATTATGAAAACATAAATTTAAGGTAATTTTTCTTATAAGAAACATACTTTTTGTGTATTATATAGTCTACAACACATCTTGAAAAAAAAATAGTTAGTTTTTTAAATTTGTGTTTTGTGTAAAAATGTATAATTACGTATCTTGTGTAAGTCACAAGAAATTGTATTATGATTTTTTTTTTTTTTTTGATTTTTTATTGATCAAATAAAACTCAGCAGCCATGGCCATTAGTTACAATTTAAATATATTATTCACAGTTTTAGTTACCAACGGTGATGCAACCGTCATCGCCGTATGCTATTGTATTTTTAATTTTGTGTTTATTTTTTTAATATTTCCACGTGTTTTTGTGATAATTCTGTCAAACCTCAAAAGTGCCAAATATCTACGACATAAGTTTGCACTGATTCATATTATTAACATCATAAATCATAATATATTTTAATCGCATACCTTAAATCAAACATAATATGTTCTATGACGCTACTAAGTTTAATTAGTAAGCCCTTGCATGATATAATCGAATTGATCTTAATATATATATATATATATATATAACTTTTTTAAGTAGCCACTGTCCGGCGGGTCAGTCCGGCCCTAGTGTATACCTATTAAAAATACTAATTTTGTTTTTCTGTACTAAGTCCTTAACGCATAAGGTATACCTAACTATTGAATTAGCTGTTAATACGACATACGACGAATTAACAATTAATTAATATAACTACGGCTCCACATATTATTATATTAAATAAAGTCGCGATATTATTATTTCATCATGTGCATACTTGCCTACTTATACGGTAGATGTAGATAATAAAACCTTCGTCTAAACAAATACAAATTACTAATATAATTATTATACGAATTAAAATAATAATATAATTTCATTGAAATCGTCACATATTGCAATCGCGCGGGAACAGTTAATGCAATGGTGTGCCTATATTGAACTGATATCGATCATGATGTGCCAAGTCTTGCAATGCCTTCATATTTACGTATAAACGTACAATAATTGGTGAGCCTAGGTACAATAAAGCTACATAATAAATCATCTTAAGACTTAAATCAATGCTCTACAACTCCGAAACGCACATGGGCGTTGAGTATACCTACATATTATACAAATCTATTATAATATGGTTGTATTATGGCATAATAATCACTTCTAACGAGACAACGAGGTCATGTTGTTTGCTAACAAAAACCGATTCGTTAAAAGACACACACACACAAGTATATAGGTAACAACGACAATATATACATATTACTCAAATTATTATGCGTACCTACGCTAAGTATATAATAATATTATCGTTTTGTGGGGGGTCATGTCGTGTAGAGTGTGCGTATAATCTACCACAGCCATTACGCAAGAGAATCGCATCATACACAGATGTCTATATATTATATTTATATTTTACGTGTATAGCTGAGGTAGGTATTCCTATGTCGTGTGTAGGATAATCGTATTCTGTAAGAAACTGGTTTCAATTTACTGTATACTGTAGGAGTGCATGAAGAGTGAAAATCGTATCAGATCACTGCGCAGTCCAGTCCGTTCGTCTGCAAGTACACGAGCTGTTGAAAAAAAAACACAAAGGACAATAAAAAATAATCATGAAGTGTTTAATATTCGTGGTAGCTTTGGTGACTTTCGCTACGGTTTCGGCCGACAGGATCAAGCGCGCTCCTGTAAGTATATATGGATTGTATATTATACATTTTTTTGTCATATTTTCACACAGTTTTTTTTAGAGTCATAGACATTTTAAATCTAGTTATACCAGTGTATAATAATTTTATAATTATTATGTATTCCACTTAAGTATTAAGCTATATAGAAGATATGTAAAATTATTTAAAATGTTTGTCATATTGTATTTAATGAGTATAAAATAACGTTTATTTAACGTTTTAGTTAAAAGTTTCGGTTTACTATGAATCTCATTGTCCGGACAGCAGAGATTTTATTATGGCACAACTTCATCCATACTTCTGTAAAGTACAACAATATTTGAACTTGAACTTGGTGCCCTTCGGTAAAGCATATGTAAGTAAATATATATATAATACACTTACCTATATACACATTATTAATGTATTCTCACTTTTTATTTAATAACCACTTAAACTAACCATTAGTTATAATCTAAAAACAAAGACATTAGAAATAAATTAAAGCGGGTATTGACATGAATAATAGTTTAAAAATTACGAAAAAGTATATAATTACTGTAAGAGAAGCGTATTTATCATTTGTAGTATTTGTACTTCATGGGTACTCACCAACCATACTACTTCAGTGTTCACACATTTTAAGTTCTGAAATTATTTTAACAAATAATAAAATAATATAAATGAGTTTTTCACACTAATGAAATAATCAATTTTATCTTTAAAATAGGTAAGTATAGATATTATGTTTCTACGATATCTAATCACTAATTTATATTATAATACTATTAATACTTCAACGGCTCTATCCATAGAAATTATACTCAAGTCAACAGAGTTATTTATGTAAGTATAGTACCTACAAATATAAATATATGGGAAGAACCACTTGGGTATAATATTTGATACATCACTATATGAAAACACGATTAGACGCATATCATTTTAACTCTTAAGCCTATTAATGTTACCCAGAGGACACCTGAGATGATTGATCGACCTAAGTAATATATTCAATATCTTATTTCAAGCAATGAACACAGTTATAGCTATTTGAGGTAAAATTAACTATAGGTACCCATTACTTAATGAGACGATAGTAAACAGTGGCGTAGTTAAATATTTGTTTTGGGGGAGATAGGCATTTTTTGTAATACAATATTATACTAAATGTTCATGTATAGTGGTGAGTGGTAACTCGAAGTACAAATATTTTAAAAGCTCTAAAGCGAATCTATCCCCTTCGTCCCCTTTAATTACGCCTCTGATAATAAGTAATAATTAAAATAAATAATAACTAATAAATATAATCAACTATTTATTGCAAATTAAATACATCATTTGAAAAAAACTTCAATCCATATGTACGTGTATTTCTTACAAGATAATGTTGTTTAGTAGGTGGGTGGAATGAAAAATGTCTCAAAAAGTAATACCTATATGCATATGCCTATTATAGTACAAACTACAACATATCTACAAATCACAATATATATTATTGATTGGTTATATGTTTAATACGTCATTATTATCTTCTACAGCTATAAAGTAGGTATTTTTTCAGAACAATACTGAAATTTAAATAGTATATAGTATATTATATTTATATACGTTCGGGTTCCTAGTACTTTCTACCCGGTGACCGGTATAATGTTTAGTGTTTATATGATGATAACACATTGACATCACATTTATAAATCTAAATTTGTTGAAGCTCCATATATAGATTGGTTTATTATAGAATAAAAATTTACGGACATCATATTTTTTATAAGTTTTGTTTAAGATTCAACGTTTTGAAATCGATCGTTTCATCACCGTGTCTATTGTCTATCTTCAAAATTCAAAGTGATTAAGTTTGAAAATAAAAAATTCATTTTTCATACAAAAATGTTATATGAGTAGTAGCACCATTTTAGTAACTACCATTAAATCGAGAAATTATTCTTCCTATGCATTCCACAAGACAATAAGCATTACTATAATCAGTGGTGTAGTGGAGGGTACACGGGGGTACACGGCGTGTACMCACCTCCTAATTTTATAATTATGCGTGTACCTTTAACGAAAATCGTAGTACGCGGGTACACGGAACATAAATAAGATGAATTAACGTTACCCATCAAATAATATATATATTTATTAAATTTTGATATTTAATAAGTAAAAAAGATAAGCGTAATTTGTTTATTTCACGGACTAAGAAAAGATCATAAAAGTCCATGGTTAACCAAAGTTGGTTAACCTCCCATAGAGATGCTGATGACAACAAATCAAGAAAAGTTAATACCAGCACTGCAACTGAAGATCCAAAATATAAACTATGGCAATTACTTTAACTATTTAAAATGTATTTAAAATATTTCATAATATGTTAATAATTTATATTTTGTGTTAAATTATACAATTTTTAATTTTATCAAGTAWTTTATTTTTAAACATTATTTATGRATCATGAGTTTAATTATCAATCATTCTGTAGTAGGDATTATTGTATATTATATTATAGACAACTGATAAATAGATAAAATAGTGGATACTTGTTCAATATGCTATCTACCCTGAGTATTTTATCTACCATAATTTTATGTTGGTCGATGGCTTAATATGCTATTTATAAATGAAAATTGTGGCTTTGTTTACCAAATATGTTATAATCACTAGTAGAAAACATGAACGAGTACTAATTAAGGGGGTGTGGGGGGCGTAGCCCCCCACGTTTTATTTTACAATGTTTCAAGCGTGTACCCATAAAAATTTTTAGGACTACATCACTGACTATAATATATGTACTTTGTTATTCTGGGTCGAAATTTATAGCCGACTTCCTGCGAAGGGATTGCACAGGATTTATAATCTAATTTGTAAGAATAATATAGAATGTATTATATAATAAATTCAAATATATTAAAACTATTATAAGCATATGGTGGTCGGTGTGACACGGTCATGCGCCGGCTTCCCCAGGGAATACTTGATTCCCACATAAATTCAGTGGATGAATGTGGATATGAATATTATCATAGTTATAACTTATAAATCATCACATTTTATATAATAAGAATACTATAAAAAATGTGTGCTACGCTATAATTATATATAATTAATAAAATAAGATCTTTCGTTATTTAAACAATTTTAATTCACCAATAATCATAAAGATTTGGTCTCGATCGACTAAATAATCAACTCATAACTTTGTAAATCAATTAATTTTTGATTTTAACCCTCGAAAAATATCTTCTTATATAAGAAATATAAAAACTTCAAAATATGACTACAAAATGTCAAAATATCCAAATAATTATATGCACTGAGATAAGTTTTCAACTAAGTTGTAAATCATATTTGAACTTACTTAGCGTAGAGTAAGAGCAATTAGAAAAACTATACAAATACATCAATAAATATTTTCTCTAATTGACTAGTTCTCACTCATCAGTCATCACTATAATTAAACATTTACACTTAATGCTAAAGTTAAGTCATTGCTTACATAATATTATATTGACTACATTCCTTTAGGTATCTATACTAATATATTAATGGCCTTATCACATCCTTGTTAACTTGTTTATAGTTATTTATAGGTATATTACATAATAACATGCACATATTGGTTATTAGTTTATTACATTCGATATAAATTACCTACCTACCTACCTCGTATTCATAAAAAAATTTGCGTTAAAAATGAGAAAAATAACAAATTTTTGTGACATTAATGGTGAATCCATCATTATCAAAATTTAGTGTGCTTATGTCAGGTATTCCCTGGATAAACAATTTTTATTAGATTCCCTCACAATATAAAAGTCTGATGGTCACGCCTATAATTTATAGCAAGCCTGGGCAATAGTTAATGATAATTTTTAACTGAGTTAAGTTAAGTTAATGGAAAACATTTTAAAAAGTTTAAAGTTAATAGTTAACCTAATTCTTTTTTTAACTCAGTTAAGTTAAAAGTTATATGAACATTTTCAATTAACTTATGAACTTAAGTTAAGTTATTTTTTTTTTTATAATATCCATATAAATAATAAAAATCATAAATATTATTGACCTCAGGAAATAGCCAATAGCTTTTCTATACATAAGTATTGAATTAATAGAATTAAGTAGTAGGTATGAAAAAATTCAAAATTGAAATAATACCGAAACAAATACAATCTTTTGATTTATTAATACACTAATACAGATAAGCATTATACATTTTTTTTAAATTATTAAATAAAAATAACATGGTATTTAAGAATGTACTCTGAATACTTTTTCAGGAAACTAAAAGTCTAAAACWGTTAGAGAATATAGCCAACTTTATACTTCATTATATTTATTATTTMATTATTTATAAATTAACTTAACTTGAATTTGATTAAAAGTAACTAGTTATTTATTAAGTTTATCAATTAAAATAAGTTAAGTTAAAAGTTAAAATTAATTTAACTTTTAACTTTTTAACGCGTTTATGCGCAGGCTTGATTTATAAATTATAGTTAGTACTGGATATTACTCTATTAGAAACGATATAAACTATAAACTATATAGTGATAATACTGTATTCCAGTTGTAATCAGCGTTTTTCTTACATTTAACTATATAATTACAATTTAGTATACAAACATTACAAACCAAAATATAAATTACAAGTAGTTAGAAACCTGTACAAATATGATAAATACATATATACTGATTTATAAAAAAGTACCTAATTTAAGATACAAAAATGTATATTATATACGTATGGGGAGTGCCTAGATATTTTTCCGAGAGGGGGTCAATATTTTAACTAGCACGTATTCAAAATGTATTTATTTCACTAAATAGTAGGTACGCTGTATCTGAATTCGTTAAAATTTCAGAGGGTTGTGAATACGCTAATCCCTCTAGGCACACCTTTGCCTATACAATATAGCAAGTATTACTATATGAATATGATATAAACCCGATGTTCACTACCCATATAAGATAGAGTCTAGATTAAGTATTATAAAATGAAACATGCTGATCGATTATTCAAATATCATTTTTTTCTTTTAATTTTAGAGTTCAGATCAAGGTTTCATTTGCCAGCACGGACCTAAAGAATGCCGTGGTAATACAATACATAACTGTGTGTTGAAACGCATACAAGATTCTAAAGCTCAAGTAGAGTACGTGAATTGTGCCATGTACGATCCGGACCAACCAGGACACATTGAGAAAACGGTACTTTTTAACATTTATACGGATACAATTTGAGTACGTAGAGCAATATAGAAAGTCTATTTAATGGTATATATACCTATGTTTAATACCTATTATAGTAATGGATAAGCATGATGGTAACTGCAGATGTAAAATAGAATAGTTTTTTACAACCATACCATTAGAGAGCAATAACAAATAGCTGTATATTGTAACTAATATAAATATATAATGCTCCTAACCATTGACACGACTGAATTGATTATATTATTAAAAAGGGTGTATACTATAAGTCTATAAACTATAGCTGCTACAGTGCTACTGATATTTAGAGTCGATATTAAACGAGAACACCTTCCATCCTGAGAAGAGGTGATTTTAATTTTACGGAATTCAGCTTATCAAAATATATTAAATGGAGTTAAGTATTGATAAAAAATGGGTGATTGTAAACTTTCCCAATTTTGATGACCAAATACATTGATCTTCCGATGATAAACTCTCCCGGATCTACTCCAAAACTACCTGAGATCTGACGGGTACATCGTGTAAACTCTCCCAGGTTATAAACTGCCTAAAGAGTACGTGTAAATTATCCCAAGTCAGTAATTACTTTTTTTTCACATTATAATTATACCATCATAATTTAATATTTATAACAATATAAAATGAGCAAACAACTTTTTTAAATTAATCAACATATTCGAATTCCATTAAAAAAATTGTTAATTATTTAAATTACAGTAAATGATAAAAGTAATAACAATCTAAATCAATTTCAAATTAAACCAACATTTTAATTTAATTTTTTTAATAACAAACATATAAGAATTTAAAAAACTTAAGATTCTATTTTTGGTCTTTTAAGTGTAGAATATTTTGCAACATAACTTTAAAACAACTCGAGAGAGTTTATATATCCCCTTTAAGAGGACGTGATATCCGCATGTGTGGTTTCTGTCATACAACTATACAAGTGTGTAACATTGCAAAAACGCCAAAAACTGTTTAGCATGAGATAGATCCACGTCTGTAGCTACTCTTAGTAGAAACACCAAAAGTTAACACAATATAGAAGATAATATTTTCTGTATATTGCATATTGTTTTTAATTGTTTGATATCTTCAAAAAAGTTATAATATTTTTAAGTTTTTCAAACTTCAATAGCTTTTGATATTTTGGTCTTATTAAAAAATAAAAACACCATGACACCGTTAAAATTCTCCTTTTTTCATGGTGAAAATTTGGTTTCTTAGTTGTAATTTTAGACTTCTAAGTTCTTCACCGCGCGAAACAGTTTTTGCTATATTACGCACTTGTAAGACGGAGAGACAACACATGCAGGTATCACGTCCTCTTAAGTAAACATAATATTAATCCGGGAGAGATTACTTATTTTAAAAATCAGGAGAGTTTATTATACTATGTATCGAGAGTTTACCACGACTCAAAACAATTATACATATCTTTTTATAATTTAACACAATTTATCAGAAACTTCTTATTTAAATATAACGCATCACGCCCACGCGTATAAATGTATAGTTAGTAATTAAGTACCTATATCATAATATGTTATTTTTTCTGTGAAGGTATAAAATATTTTCAACTATTAGTTTTAAATTTGTTTCAGTGTGTCGAAGGAAGTGGCTTGAACGTTGACCAAGTGCAAAAATGTTTTACTTCGTCGGAGGGCTATGAAATGATGCTCAAGGCTGAGAAAGAAACCAAAGCCATGACACCTGGGCCATTGTTTGTGCCTACTATAGTGTTTGACGATGTACGTGTATAATATGTTTTTAAGTACCAAATTKATGTGTTTCATTAACCATATAATAATAATATAAAGTTGATTTTTTTAAATTTCTTACATTTTGTTGTCTATTCAGGAATACAATGACGATGATCAAAACCAAGCGTTTGTGAATTTCGAATCGACGCTTTGCGAAAAACTAGTTAGCCGTGGACATACAGACGTGTGCTCAAACGGTGCAATCATAAACCCTCAAACATGTTGAACGATTTATCCACCATACCTAATAATAATGATCATATCAATAATGCTTTTGTTATTATTCATTATATTATCCTTATTATTATATAGATTAAAATGAATTTGTATATAAATATTAAATTTATGTAATTTTAAATTATTAATCTAATATATTCATATATAATCACAGATATAAAATACATACATAATGATAATAAGACACGAACATCCATAGAGACGCAGTTTTCTTGATTATATCACTACGACAATATATTAGGTATTTTTCATTTATATCATTCCATATATTCCAGATTAAGATATTTCATGTATTTATCTAAAGACATAAATAAATACGTTAGTCTTAAACTATATTATTCTTATTTGAAAATGATTACATATTTATCGATATTTATGCAGTATAACACTAGTGTTTTCCATTATGTTTTCGGCGGACCAGGGTCGTAATTAGTGCTTTAGGGTTAGAGGTTCGTGGTCATGATGCTTGACAACAAAGCAGCAACAGTAAACATTATTCGTGGAGACTAATACAATTATAAATTTTACTATATTATGTGCAATGATGTTTTCAAAACATTTAGATTAATGTTATGCTATTAGCTATTTATACCGCATGAACCTACCTATTCACACTGTTCTACGGTAAGGTGGTATTGATTCAAAAATAAATAAAAATAATGTATGATAGAAATATAAACAATTGGGTATAATAATTAAATATTGATTAATATGATAAGTGCAATGTTTTTGGTAAAAATTAAACCTTCTTTAATACTAATGTTGAATAATAATAAATAATTTACTTTAATAGTATAATATCAAAAAAATGAATCATGAGATATACTCGACAAACATATCGTAGGTATAGGCTGTGACAGACAATTTTCACTAAAAATCTTTTTTTGTATACAATGAAAATACATCATTGAATTTAAATTTAACACATCCACTACAGTGACCTACATCGGCTACACCTACTATACAGCAGAGCGGTACCTATATTAGTCATATTTTTTTCATTGAATATCAATCATATGAAAAACTTTTTATATTTCACCATGACTATTAACTTAAAATTTCAAACCGCTATTGTCGAACCAAGAATACAGGCGAACCCGAAATTAACTATTAAAGTAAATTTCCTAAAGCACCCGCAGATGCTCTAGATTTTTGTAAACAGTACTCCAAAATCATTACACTTTTCTGTGTTGAGAGTCTACGTTGACTCTTGAAATCTAGCAAAAATATTTTTATGCATGAACATTTTGCGAAAACTTATCTATTATAATAGATAATGACTAAAGCAAGGTAGGTACAACGGGAGATGGACAATCGACCGACAGGACATTCGACCGACAACCAAAATACCGACAAGACTATTAACCGACAGGGTCAATCGACCGACAACCAAAATACCGACATGACAATCGATTGACAATAATATAACATGTTTAATATGGTAAAAATTGTTTAATGATAAAGTAAAAATAAAGTTAATAATAGTATATGTTAAATAATATAATAAATTTAAAAAAATATATTGATTACCTCCATGATATTACCTCGTGATATTCCTCCATTATACTTAAATAAAATACGCACAGAGACTGCGTGTATCTTCGTCGGATCAACTAAATTTATACTGTTGGAAAAAGGTATCGCGCGTTAATTGAGTTCTCGTTGTCGTGCGATAAAATTTTTCGATTAGATAAAAACATTAAACGAATCGGAACTGCTTATCCATTTCTGGACTAATATTTATATCTAAAATGTTCTAACATCTGATAATTTCGGTATAAACCACATTATTCTGAGGCTTATTTTTTATTTAAAAAAAAAACCGTTTTCTTTGTAATATACATTATTAACAATAATATACCAATATTATACATTATGCACAGATTTTAAAACGAGAATATAAATATAAAGTGAAATTAAATTACAATATATTATATTATTGTCAATCGATTGTCTTGTCGGTATTTTGGTTGTCGGTCGATTGTCCTGTCGGTCGATTGTCAATCTCCCGTTGTACCTAAGGCATATAAAAATAATATTTATATTGAGATTTATAATTTTATAAAGTACACTTTATTGGTATTTTCATATGAGCCCAAGGCTTACCCCGTGTGAGGAATTATCACAATGCGGTAAACTTTGCGATCAAATATTCTATCCATATCCATTAAAAACTCGAGAAGAACGCCACTGCGTAGTGTACCTAGTATATTATGATACCATGACAGTGATTCATGAAACTGTGTTCATTGAAGTTATTTAATTATGTAATATATTTTGCATAAATATTATACTATGAATTTTAATAAAATATTCTGCCAATAAACATGTTATGAATTGTTAATAGAAAATAATAATTTAACTTAATTGTTTTTTTTTAATTAGTATAACAAGTCTGTTAGCCAGACACCTATTACAATACTCATTTCAGTCATATTCAAAAAAATATTTTAGTTTAAATTACAATTTAAATAAGTTATAAATATAACTATTATTATCGTGAATATATATAAATGATCTATAATAATTGTATCTAATAATAATATTAATAAGTAGACCTATAATATTTGTGTGTTAACAAATAACAATATCTACACCGGGCACAGACTGACAGACTGTACTATGTATAGGTACCTATATGATCTAAATACTAAAAGGTAACATTTATAGTTGGTAAAATTAATCACAAATTATTTTCCTGAACCGAATCCAATATTAATTTTAAGATACAATTTTTCTTGAAAAAACTTTTTTAAATTTAGTAATTACTCATAACTTTACTATTAATAACTTTAATATTTGATAAGTTTTATAAATAGACAAGTTATAGACATTTTTCTGACCTCAAAATTAGTAGTGAAATTTCTATTATTATTTCAAGTTTTAAACAACAATTGCCTAATAGTTATAAATGAAAATGAATGATTATATTATAATACATATATTGATTTTAAAATACAACAGGAATATGATATACATAATATAATATACTTTTAGAAAATT